GAAGGCGAGTGCGCCAAACGTTAGCCGGATAAATCGTATATCAATCTCGGAAGCTTGAACAGAAGCAATTAAAGCTATCCTCTTAGCGCTTCTCACTTTAAGGCACGCGCAAGAAAATACAAGGACATGCCTTGGTTTCAATATCCCATTGGAAGTGCGGATAATACTTTGCGTCGAGCAGCTATGTTCAAAGTCCACTTGATAAATATCAGTACGGATGCCTCGGTTTAAGTGCTCGCTTTGGATGGCCTTGAATTGCTCGAGGCGGGCGTGAGAAACCCTTCCAGGACTTTTGAGGTACTTTATTCAATATTACACATGACATGAGAAGGTGCTCCTCTGAGAGGCGTTTGCCGGGTCAGACGTGCTCATCGCCATCAAACTGGTAATCGCAATGGACGAAAGCTCGCTCAACGAAAAGAAAGCTGCTCGAGCTTCAACTGCAGTGTTTCTGACACGTCGTGCGCTTCACACAAATTGATCTCCCGGTCCATCACCTGAAAATCTCAAGTGTCTGTGATGGAACACCGCTGGAGCTTCAAATGCATTCACTAACCACATGCAGTTCAACAAGGAAATTGGCTCCAAAGTGGTAGACGTACACGGTGTCCAGATGTTTGATGCGCTCGTCGTGACTGATGGCCACCTGAAACCCGGTCGATACTCGAGCAAAGAACAAGTGCGATCAAAAATTCGCGCCTCCGGTGAAAAAACCACATTCATCAAATGGCCTCTCTTACCCAAGGAAGCAAATGCAAGGAGTGGCTCACGTTTATAATGCGATTGATTAGTTGTGGACTCGCCGATTTTCCAATCAACAGCGGCACTTGTTCCTTCACAGTGAACAGCCATGTAACTATGATGAGAGTTCGCTGAAAAAGTTCTTCTTCATCGGAGGAGAAATTAAAAGTGGCGTTTGGAAGAGGCGAGAATCCGACGGCGGTGTGGTGATCTCAACCAATCTCTCCCTTACTAGGCTGCTGTGATCAAAGGGTAACACAAAGAGAGTTCAGCGTTGGACCAATTTCTGGATAGTTAGCTACCATTCTAGGTCGCAGTTATCCCGTTTTCCCGGTTCGAAAATTGCTGAGGAAGGCGCCGAAATCCTGCCAAAGCCGTTCACGCATCAGTTAGTTCTGGTTTGATATTTCACTGCTAAAGCTTACCCGACATGTTCTAAGAAGTAGATGTAACGCAAGGGTAAAAGCAGATGATTTGAAGATTTACCATCCAATCGTTAGATGATCCTCAAAAATTGGCGTTTGCTAATGGCTCTACAGTTAACCTAATTCTGGTGTTCCACCATTACTCGCATGCACTGTTGAAGGTTCCGCTTTCTGCTGTTCAGTAGGATTGAATATCTCTGATTTTTCTTCAATAACAAATTCGACTTCTCGGAACACAAAAGACTAACACAGCTAGTAGGGAGGCATTGCTAGGTGCATATATTGGATCAAAACATAATATCCTATCCTTTTTTGAGCGTATGAGTTCAATCGCTACGAGTGCTATCCAGCAAACTGTGTTATCATTCGAAAGCATTTTTCCACTCTACATCACCAGTTGTCAACTTCTTAAAATTATGACTATACGCAGATATAGTGCTTACCAGGAAATGTTTTTGACTTCCCATGGAACTTTGAAAGGAGACCTATGAACATCGATAGAGTTTCGGACGCTGAGTACAAATATGGACATTAAAACTGCTACGTGAACTTTATAAGAAAGTTTACGAGAATTTCAATGTTGGCAAAAAGATCACAGAGGCGAGGTCAACCTTGTTGAAGTCCACGGTGCTTATGCCTGGTTCGTGTTCTTAAGGGTTAATGGCGTGCGCCTGATTGATGAATGTGATCCACGGTTTTAGCGCAGGGCCACTGGACAACCGTGGAATTTCTTCAGAGACTCACCTCAGTAACGTTTTGAAAAACGGTATGACATCCAATCGCCGCCACTCCACTTCATACATACGCCCCCCCGCTTTTTTGCCAATTTTGGAATGCTCGCAGCTTTCTCATAAAGTTCAGTTTTAATTGTCCAGCATTGTAATCAGCATTCAAGACTATCATTTATCAGTCTCCAAAGTTCTATGGGAAGTTCACAACATTTCCTGGTTTGAAGTGGAAAGCCCAGACGACAGAAATCGGCATTTCGACAGCAGTCTGCTGGACCCTCGCTGTCGGGCTTTAGCCTTCTTGGCAGAGAGGCAGGGACCGATATGGTTCTCTTAAGAGGATGATCGCGAAAGGGAAATAGGTCCTTCGCGGCGTTCAGCGCCTTTCTTTAGTTGCCACATTTCAAGCAACCTTCTTGCCAGTCTATTTTTTCCCTGTAGCGGACATTCCGCTCTCTAGCCTTTCAATATAGAATTCACTAGACCATCACCGATTCTTTGAAATTATCAAGAACACAGCTTCAACACACATTTTGCCTATGTCGAATGTGAGCGTTAGTTAAAAAGACATATTTTATAGGCATCAAAAGTGGGAGAAGCGGCGCCTACCTGACAATGGCAGCTCCAATAGGATCTGCGTACTTCCACCACTGGTGGCCTATATAGGCACCAGCGAGAGCGACGATGTTCGTGAAACAGTCATTCCGCTGATCAATGGCCAAAATCCGACTGGCAGAAGTATTTCGTGTACGACAGATGATGTAAAGCACTGAACAGTAAGTGGGATAAATCACGTTACTTGCTTCACGAGAGCCGGGCGGCGAGCAAAACCAGCAGACGGAGGAGGGTGTCAACGCTCGATATCGCGGCGCGCATTCTGCCATGGCAGCCTAAATCGTGCGTACGGCGCAGCGGCCAGAGTCAACCCTGCGTTGCGCAGTTCGCAACGGCACGTTGAGAGATCCTCAACGCACGCTGTATGGGCGGAGACGCAGACGGCTCGAGCATGCGAGTGTGAATGTTCGCGCGAGAGAACGTGTCTAATCGGGCGAAACTGCGCAACGTGGCCGTTGAAAACTGCGCAACGCAGGGTTGACTCTGCCTCCTCCTCTCCGCTTACCCGTCTAATGTAATACCTCAACGACTGTCTCGCGCGTGGCAGTCCTCAAAAAGTATTTAATATATAAAAATAATTTAAATATGTACAAGCAACTCGGTTGGCACTGTGTCGCAATTTATGACGTTCATGCCGTTCCAAGATGAGGGGTAGAGGGCTCGGTGTTAATCGGCTTCCCTGGAATGCCGCACTGTATCCACCAATGTCTAAGACCGAAGGTTACGAGTGGCCTCATGCACCACAGCCCAGTGTAGGTAGAGTTTGCATGGCAGAGTAGATGACCAACGGGATACCGATGGCAGGTAAAAATCGACTGATTACTCGAATAGTAGATGCAGAAGCCCCTACTTCTGCATCATTAATCCATTCTTCCCATCTATGGTGTACTTGAGCTAACTACATGGAGTCCATCAAGTCTTAATGACAGATCTTGAGAGGCTTGATATGGAGTTTCAACGTCGCTGTTCCACCATCAATACGGCACTCCTTCCAATCGACGAGCACGACCACCTTCACCACCGTGGCTCTTTCTATATTTCTAGAGACCAGCCTACACAGCCTCAGCAATGAGAAGCCAGCTTTCGGAGCTGGGAAGGGAAGATGTAGATTAGGTGAACAATCGGAATTCCCCAAGTCCGACCACTTCATACTTACTTTTTTGAATTCCAGCAAATTAAACAAAAAATCGGGTGTCCCTAAGGGGCCCGTCGCGCGGCGAAGGAAGAGACGCAGATGCGGCAAAGGACGAGTCGCAGCGCGTGCTGTCCGATATGAGACGTAGTATGGTACACTCTATTAACCTGACGCCTAACCGCTACAGTATGCGCTGCGACTCGTCCTTCCCGCGCGACGGGCCTCTTAGGAGACACCCAAATAATCGGCATAGATACCCCTCCCCTTCACCAATTCGCTTTTCGTTCTTCGTGCAGTAGCGGTCAAAAGTGTTCGCCGAAACGGTTTTCGTGCTTCTCTTTTTTTGCCAGAAAAAAATAAATGGTGACCTCGAAAATTTTTCTTTTGAATATCCTGATTCTTTAAGACTTGAGGATATAAAAACACTAGAAAACATAGTATATCAATCTTTGGAGGACGTTGCTCAAGCGAGAAAAAATAATGCACCGAAAATCGTTTCGGCGAACACTTTTGATCCGCTACTGTATGTCCTACAGTGCCATCTTGAGCAGAATGCACCCAAGTAGTCACCGACCTGCTTTGATCGCTGTCTGTGCAGAGGATAACGAGCGGAAGCAATTGCGGCATGGTCGACCCGTCGGGACTGGATCTGGAAGAAACAAATGCGTCTGTCCTACGACAGCGCCTAACGTAGAAGCTGGAATTTAATCCTACGTCGCGGCGGGTTAAATCGAGATCACTGGCACAGCTCTTTTTAGAACGAGTATATTGGCGAATACCATAATCAGACCGACAATCAGTGTTGTGAGTGGTTCAAGCCTAGACACTGACAAGTGATTGCACTTTCTCAAAAACCCAAACGACGGGAACCTTGTTTTTGGAAATGAATACGGTGAGAAATGCGGGATGTATGCAACACGGAAATTAGCACAGTGAGCAGGGAGCTATGTAAGCTGATTGTAGGTATTGCCTAGGCTCTACGGCACAGCTCTAATCCATTCACGACAATGTCAGCTTCTGGTGGCTGACCGGCTTTTAACACCTTGGAGCCCATGCAGCCCCACATTGGGATCTTCCAGTCCACATTTTGGAAACAAATATCGAGTTTTTCTTTTGCTTTCTTTTCCATTACATTCGATAATATTTCCACTGCATCAAACAGCGGGATTTTCTTCCAAATTCGTCGTTGATAAATTCTCAGAAATTTCGAGCTGAAGTCCCCGCTGAAAACGGTGAATACCTGGGGCGGCGAGAGCGGGCCGGCGACGCGTGGGGTGCCACAGAGGGTCGCGGTCTGTCTCCAAGCGGTGTGTGTAAGTATTCTCGTAAGCAATAGGTTTCTAATTTGTTCTGATTCCATTGGGTGGGTGTGTTGTGTTTTTGAAAGAAATTTTCACACCTATCTTGGTTAACGCCAGCCTGGGGCGGCGGATCTCTTCACTTCAGTTTTTACGAAGAGGCCACTTCACTACTTTCGCAACTTCAGTTTCCCACACAACCCTATACGCCACAATAAGGATTTGACTAGCGAACTTGTTCGGCGTGTGGTCGGCCTGACACAAAATCCGTAATGTTTTTTTGATGAGGACACCAGAAAAATTGCACCATTGCAGCCGGCGCAATAACTGTTGTTCCTCAGATTGCGTTTGAAAACTTGGGCTATTCAGTGTTCGAATCACGAATGTGACTTGGTTTTTGGCGCTGGCGCCACTAGCGCTAATATTTGCTTGGCACGAAATTCCGCCAATTTGGCGCGTGGCGTCAAGAACGAATGTCGTGTCCGTGATCAGGATACCTAATTATAAACCTTTGTAAGTTTCCAAATGCAGCCGGTGATAACAGTTGTTGCGTCATGTCAAAGCAATTTGGCGCCAATCTGGTTCCCACGCCAAAAATGAGGGTCATATTCGTGACCACAGCGATCAATACTCCCATAGGAAAGTTACAGCGTGAGTTGTTTACTCCTTCCAAAGTTCACCACATTTCCAAAAGGATCGCGAGGGCAATGCAGCCATTGGATGTCACCCATAAACTGCCTAATATCTGGGAAGGCACATGCAAAGCCGCTAGTCACATAGTACCTGAACCTGTACTAGAGTTTATTTCGCGAAAAGTTCGCCGAGACGCTTTTAACACCTTGGAGCCCATGCAGCCCGCATTTGGGATCTTCCAGTCCACATTTTGGAAACAAATATCGAGTTTTTCTTTTGCTTTCTTTTCCATTACATTCGATAATATTTCCACTGCATCAAACAGCGGGATTTTCTTCCAAATTCGTCGTTGATAAATTCTCAGAAATTTCGAGCTGAAGTCCCCGCTGAAAACGGTGAATACCTGGGGCGGCGAGAGCGGGCCGGCGACGCGTGGGGTGCCACAGAGGGTCGCGGTCTGTCTCCAAGCGGTGTGTGTAAGTATTCTCGTAAGCAATAGGTTTCTAATTTGTTCTGATTCCATTGGGTGGGTGTTTTTTTCTGGTGAGAGAAATTTTCACACCTATCTTGGTTAACGCCAGCCTGGGCCGGGGTATCTTCATTCACTTCAGTTTTATTGAAGAGGCACTTCACTACTTTCGAACTTCAGTTCCACACAACCCTATACGCCAGAAAGGATTTTGCTAGCGATTGTTCGGCTGTCGTGGTCGGCCTGATCACAAAATCCGTAATGTATTTTTTGATGAGAACACCAGAAAATTGCATCTGCATGGCGCAATAACTGTTTTCATCAGATTCGTTGAAAACTTGGGCTATTCAGTGTTCGAATCACGAATGTGACTTGGTTTTTGGCGCTGGCGCCACTAGCGCTAATATTTGCTTGGCACGAAATTCCGCCAATTTGGCGCTGGCGTCAAGAACGAATGTCGTGTCCGTGATCAGGATACCTAATTATAAACCTTGTATGCAAGTTTTCTAATGCATCCGGTGATAACAGTTGTTGCGTCATGTCAATGCAATTTGGCGCCAATCTGGTTCCCACGCCAAAATGAGGGTCATATTCGTGACCACAGCGATCAATACTCCCATAGGAAAGTTACAGCGTGAGTTGTTAACTCCTTCCAAAGTTCACCACATTTCCAAAAGGATCGCGAGGGCAATGCAGCCATTGGATGTCACCCATAAACTGCCTAATATCTGGGAAGGCACATGCAAAGCCGCTAGTCACATAGTACCTGAACCTGTTACTAGAGTTTATTTCGCGAAAAGTTCGGGCGGAAGGAGTAACTTTTGTCCAGGTTCATAGCTCCCATGATTCAGCGATACAAGGTTGTGTCTGGGTCGACGTTGCAATGCCCAAGGCTACTCCAAACTGCTTGCAATGGCAGGGCCACAGTACATACTAGCTATGTAGCGGCGATAAAGAAAGCCTAGCTTACCGATTCAAACCGACGGGATAATGGTGCTTGTTTGATCTTTCAATCAGTCGACAAGTGTACCACAAGACCAATCCTGAAGTGATGTCCATGGCGCTAAAATAAGCATATGAAGTACTAATCTAGGCGGAAAAGCCTTAATTGAGTGCATGAGTTGATGTGCATTGATTTTGCAACGGGCCTTCACCGAACCTCTCTCACTAGTAGGGTGCTATTCCAGTGAAAGCGACAATACCCTCCCTTCAAAAAGCGAGAAAGTGTCGGGTGCAGACCATACACCACAAGTGACGACGGCCTCCACAAAATGTAAATGTTTTCTGCCAATGAAATGATTAGCCTGTTGCAGTTGTATTCTATCAGTTGTCACTAATTACAACTATCATTTACCAAAATCAGCTATCACTATGAACCACTACTAACCAGATTTACTTGGAGGCCGTCGTCAGTTGTGGTGTTTGGTCTGCACCCGACACTTTCTGGCTTTTTGAAGGGGAGGTACACATTTTGTGGCCTGTAGTTAGGCCTGCCGTAATTGCGGACTCAGTAGCAGACGGCGTTTCCCTTAGTCAATAGCAAATGTGCTTTTTGATGGGCTTAGTGCTATTTGAGGTGTGCTGCTTGAGTATGCAGTTGTAACTGGCCCAATCGTAGGAAACAAAGTGTACCACATGTCATGTTCTCCCGAATGCAATCCAGTTGAGTTTATGGGTTCATATTTGAGAGCTCTGCATTTGGTTTTGGGAAAAGTCCTAGATTTGAGCTACGATATGCGCATCACAGAAGTTGGGTACCCCAGATGTCTTTTCCCGCCTTCGTCTCTCGAAGTCTTTGTTCGGGGGAGAGAAAAGCTCACCGGCGGCGCGGACGCGAGCGCGTATTGGTGACGTCAAAATGACGTCACAGCTACAGGCTCGAAGGAAGGGCAAGCAGTGGCCAGCGCCGCTGCCACTTTGCTCGAATGGCGCTTTCTGGCACTATACCAACTTGTCCACAGTTGTGCCGCGAGCGAAATGATTTTGTTAGGTACAGGTATCATCCTCGCACTTGGAATTGTGATTTTTTTTGAAAATGTAGAGAAAGTCGAGGCTTTCATGTGCAAACCTTAGGAGTACACACTCATGTCGGAGTTTAAAGGAATCAAGTACCTTCTTCTAATTCAATTCCTACTCACTTCTACATATTACAGAGCGAAATAAAAGCGCAATAGATGCTATGGTAGAGCTTGCCCTTGCTCGCTCCCTTGCCGCCGCTTGTGACGTCACCAACACGCGAACGCGTCCGCGCCGCCGGTGAGCTTTTCCATGGAGCCGCCTTTCAACGCCACCCCCCCCCCCCGTTTCATAGCCTCATTTTGACTTTCCAATTCTGGCAGAACGATGGAAAATTATTACGAAATTTTGAGCGAGGGTGACAGGCCTACCTAAATAAGAGGGTCCGCACTTTGACATCCTTTTTCCTCCGCTTAAAAATGCGTCTTCATAACACGTACCTGTCGACCACTGAAGCAATAATCGAAAGCGAATCGGAGAGAATAGCAGCTGTTATCTTTGCGAAAATCAGAGCCACATTCAGAACGATCGTTATGACAGTGAGCCGGGTATCCCATACCTTAAACGTAGCGTTTACAGCATTTCCCACGTAAAGGATAAAGGATAAAGCATTTGCCGTTGATCAATCCCTTTTTGGGATGCGGCACGCATTCTACTTCCATTTGTACATTCGTAGTGGCGTTTGAATGCGATGTGGCCTATACAATGACTTGCGGGGGCCAGCCGATGTACAAGTCAGTGTTTTTATCCTCCCAGACAAGTCTGGTACCAATTAACCGACCCCGGAGGGATGGAAGGCTTGGTTGGCCCGGGCGACTCACGACCCAGGATTTGATCCCGGACCGCTCGCGTGGTAAGCAGCGCCACTTGCTACTACACCACCATGGCCCCATTTCGCCCGAAAAATTTCCCAAATGATTTCTCAAAATCTGCCCTTAAATCGATTAACCGATCTACGGTTAGCAATCCCTCTTAATTGAATGTCTTTCGAGACCTTAAAGGAATGAGGGCACGCCGCTGGTTCATACTGCCTAGGCTGAAGCCTATAATCGCCTCTGTGTCCTCTTACTTACTTCCCGTCCCTGGCCCTAATGGTTCAAAAGGTTCAGTTAGGAAATAGCATAACGTGGGTCGTAGATTTGGTAATGGCGCCTGCTGTTACGGAACGTTTGTCTTGGTTACCATTTGATAAGGAAACATTTGTTGTGGGATCTTGGATAGATTCCTTTTTAATGAGTGCTCTTCTCAGAAAATTCATTGTGATGAGTAGCAACAACTTCGATGTACTCCACCAACTCGAACTTTGGCCTCAAAAACATCGTCTTTTACCTTTCTGAACGCATATGTTGGAGCCTTTCTCATTCAATAATTGGCACCTTCACGGTTACTTGGAAGGGATCGATTTCAACCGGTAGTGCAAACCGTTTAAAGGCAAAGGTTGGACTCAGCTTCAAAACTAAGGAAGTCTCTCCCGTGGGTAGAAATGGTAG